TTCATCAAAATTCAAAACACCAAGGGGAGAAAACCTTCATTAAATTATACACTGAAAAAACTTTGGACATGACTCTATGTAAATTAAGAATGTTGCCAAGCGTAGAGGCGCACTCCTGTAATCTCAGCACTCAGGAGGCTGAGGCAGGAGGATCATTGCAAGTTTGAGAACAGCCTGGGCTACAAAGTGAGCTCAAGGCCAGCCTGAACTGCATAGCGAGACCCCATCTCAAAAAGACATAAAAAAAATTAATTAATTAATTAATTAAGAATGTTCAATTGAGAAAAAGATATGTTGTAAAAATTTTTTAAAGTAAGAGCACATAAATAATAATTAAACAATAGTTATTAGCATATGCAGAAACAAAACCATCATCAATTTACAACACGAATACCTTCTCTTATAGGCCATTCAATGAAATCAAGATTTATTGGAAAGTGGAGGAATTTTGTTATGTTAGTTTTCTTTCATCTCTAGGAAACAAATAAAATTATTTAATCTAAAGCAAACCATAATTTAAATGCTTCGATTGACTACGACCATGTCGATAACCCAAAGGTTTCAGGGAAATAATCTGTGCTGTTTATATGTTTATATCCAGCCAGTCAGTGTTCACAGACAACATTTTAAAATGATTCTGGGCTCTTCAAAAGCTACCAAATCTTACTTTGAAGTTCTAAAATATTGAGCAGGGTAATACTAGAATAAATTTCCATACTTTTTTCATACTTTAATCAATGTAACTACTATAATCTTGTCATGGATACACACATAGAGAAAATTAACATCAAAATTAGAAATGGCTGCCACTCTTCTCCCTGAGGGAGCTCTACCAGATAGCTTGAGGCACTTGTGTCTTTTTGGCATGCTCACCAAAAGTCACATGGATCTAGCACAAAGGTAAATACAAATACTTTAAGTTGTATAAAAAAGATTTCTAATAAAATTCATGTTCTAAACTTCTCATATGTGTAACATTAACATTTCTTAAATCCTGTGTTTTTAAGTGGGTTCAGTCTTAACACAAAAATCTCTTTGCTGTAGTAGTACAATTATTTCATTACCTCCCCGTGGTACTTAGGCTCTGCAATAGTCGATAACTCGTAGCCTATGGTACTGGTTAGAGCTTCTGGATAATTAGGAGTATCTGACTTCATATTGCTTCCTGCAAAATTTTTTTTTTTTTTTTTGGTACTGGGAATCAAACTCATGATCTCAGGCTTGCCAGGCAAGCGCTTAAGCCACTGAGCTATACCTCCCACCCTTCCTGTACAATTTTGAATTTCTCTCCCTTCTCTCTATATCTCTCTCCTCTGTCTCTTTATCTCTGACTCTCTCTCTCTCTCTCTCT